ACCATTTCGTTCCTAATGCACCACACCCGAATTTTCAGAATCTGTTCTTTCTTCGATATTTTTTTATTCTAACCGGATTATCAGAATAGGGTCAGGTGATCATGAACATCTTCACAAGGTTGTTGAAGGTTTTCAAAATGTTGTGGTATCTCTTGCTAGCGTAATAGATAAGAATTCTACCTTGGAATGCATAGTTGGGAGTTCGGATAGCGCCCGAGACCACTTTTGCCTATGAAGTAAAATTCCCTTAGCAATCTACAGTCCAAAACAGACCCTAGAAGCAGTCAGGGTATTTTCCTACCAACTTTGGCTCTATATGTCACGTTTTTTACTTTATTAATAGTTTTTTCTCAGTGCAACTTGAAATGTGATATCATGTTGTAACGATTGCGATGAAGAAAGCCAGCGGGTACTGCCCGGTTCACAAGCGATAGCATCATCCTAAGGGAACTATTAGAGTAGCTCATGTGACAGAAGTTTTTCATATCATTAAAAACGCCTTTTCAGCAATGCCCACATGGGCTATACGCCGAGCAACTGAGCGGAACGGCATTCACTGCTCCACGGAGCACCAATAAAAGAAGGTCCGTCAGTTTAGAGCTGCTTATCTTCAAAATCGAAGAATTTGTGAAGTTTTATGGTTATTCTTACTGATCTTGTTTTTCTTGTTAATACTCATTCCCTCGAGAGTAGCATATAATGGCGACCTCCCTATGAGCTCGCTAGTTTCTTTCCCTCTCCCATTGGCATGGATCATCTGGGGTAGTAGTTCCGATCGAAGGGGATGAGGGGGATTGAAAAAGGTCCTAAAGACATGTATAGATTCCTTTTAGATTTGATCTGTAGGATTTTCCCAGGTTTAATGCATTCTTCCCGAGCGACGGCTCATTCCCTGATTGCCGCAGAATACCTAATGAAGTGCTGCATGCGAAACTGGATTAGGTAAAGCGGAATTCCATATTGATCAGATTTTGCGATTACTTATATCGCTCTGAAGACGGGTTAGTTTTCATTGTGTAAAATTACCGAGAGTTTTCTAGGGATCCTTCTCTCTCAAATTACAACTTCAATTATCTACAAGTTCTTGCAATTTCGCAGAATAAATAGGGTTACCGTAGCGTAGTGCCTTCACCATCATCAACTTCCTCTTTCGTGAATAAAACTCCCTCGAGACTCTCATGCTGTTTCCCAAAGTAGCTACATACTCCTTCGAATTCATCTTCTGTTCGTGTTTATATCCCACCTTAATCACACCCACTCTCCCTAGTTCCCTCTCCTTCTTCCCACACCTTTACTTTGCCTTCAAAGTCTGTCGCTTTACGCAAACTTCAGAAGTGCGGGTTTTCTACTTCTTCCTTTCCCATAATTATCCCACAACCTTAATCATTTCTAATTATTTCAGAGTTCTGGTAGACCAGCGTTTCACATCCTATCCCTAATTGAATAAAGGGCGGAGATGGTGTAGTGACAAGCGGCGCACTGTCACACGCGCGTGGTCACGGGTTCGAATGTGGGATAGTTGTCCGTTTACGCCAACCAAGCCTTCATCCCTTCGGGGTCGGTTAATTGGTACCCGATTCGTCTGGGAGGATAAAAGCACTGACTTGTACATCGGCTGGCCACCGCAATCATTCAATACGCCACTACGATTCTGAATGCAAGTCGAATGCGGGGCGCATCCCTCAAAGGAGATCGATCAACGCGCTAAGAATTTATCCCTTCCTCCTTTATTTCAAAGATAAAGTCTGCAGTTTATCGTTTTTGGAAGTTGCTGGTACGATGGAGATAGCTGGAAGTCCACGGATCCCTTCGGGACCGCCTTTCTTAGGAGTTCAAAGAAGCTCGCTCTTAGGGGCTCCCTAGGACCCTCGTCAGTTACGGTCGTCCTTTTCTAACTTGACTAGTAAACCTGACCATATTCTCTGGCTCAGATTCTGCCCAAAAGAATCGCCAGTCTAAAACGACTTCAACTTTTTCGCTATCCATACTTTAAACTTGTTGCGAAGACCTTCTGCACTGGAATTCCGGGTTATTCGTAATCTATTCAGATTATTCTGCATACGGGACAGACGCGTTGTACTTTATTGCAGCATACATTGTATCTTTTCGGACGTCCGTCCGCTGCTGGGTTACTGGCGTAATTGAGTTTAGGACCATAGCCGACAAATGTGCGGGGTCTTCGCCAGTCGCCTAAGCTGCGCATCCATCGACTGCCCGGCGATGATATTCCTCTCCTTGTTTCCTAAAGTCTTCCTTCACTTTTCAAGCTAAAAATCGATGTAACTGTTTCGTAGGATAGATATTTATTTACTCTAACTTAAACTCTACGGCTTTGGAGGTACAAACCCGAAAAACCCATTTTGGGGAACAGGGAACGCACCCTACGATGCTTATGCAATTCATAGTTGATGGATGAATCTATAGCTTCACCAAGTGACTTTACTCGAGTTTATGTTTTCATTCCCAATAAGTACAAGCTACGTTCGCTGCTAATCATCCGAAATCCACCCACTTTCAACTTTTAATTATGGATAATATAGTTACTTGGTAGACTTTGGAGCGGACGTAGTGCAGCAGAACGCTTGGAAGTATTGTCATTCTTCTTCTTACGAAACCTTTGCAAAAGGATGACCCATTCTGCTTGGGCAACTAGTTAATAGAAAGTTACTCGAGTTACTGAGCCATCTTTGTTGGTTCACTGAATTTTCTCATATTCTGAATGAAGAAAGAATTCGTGGCGCTAATCTTAAGAATAACCTAAGTAGAGTGGTTCTAGAAACCTACCATATTCCCTGCCGTAAACTTGGGAACTTTACTTGAGGGCTGTGATTATTTGTGGATAGAGTCAACATATGAAACCTAGTCGTAGCTCCTTTGCTCTAGGGTGAACAATGCCCGCATACTTTGGCTAACAGGAGTCCAAATTATCACACATTATCATTATCTCCAGCTGCATCCACGTCTACAAGGTCCTCACGCTGGGCGTAAAGGATGAAGTTTTCGGCGTTAATCAATCCCGTCTGAGGGATGCGCCCCCGCACTCGACTTCCATTCAAAATCG